TCAGAAGGTTAGTGCTTCCCACCCCAATTCAATCAAACGTTGAATCCAGAAATGAGACAGTAGCAGTCTTCATTATATTTCAGCATTGCAAGAAGTCGTTTCTTCTCTTGCTTCGTACTGTCTGTGAGGATGGTATTTCTGGGTGGGCAGTAGAAGGGTGAAGTGTATTTTGACTTTTCCATTTTACCTGGAACTCCAAGAAATTGAACATCCCCAAGCTCTCATACTTATCTAAAGCTCTGTCTCCAGGCTTTTGTGCTCAGCTGTCAAAGGTGACACAGCTGCATGCTATTTGCTATACTGTCATCAGTTTGGGGCTGGGGAAGGGAGAGGGAGAAAGAAGACCGGTAATTGCATAGGCTTATCAATAATAAACACTAGTCATTCATGTGTTTGTCATTCATTTGGCAGAAAAGCAACCTTTTGTATACTGTCTGTTTTGAGGAAAGAAGGATGTTGTCAAATAGGGGGAGGAATAAAAATGAGAAATAGCCCTGGCACTCATTAGTAGTATGCATACTTTATATGGTTTGCTTAATGAGTTCATGAACCTTAGGCTATGAATTTTAATCCTGTCAGTGGCTGTTGGAATTCTGAAGGTCACATATTGAGCAGGTTTGAGATGTATTTTGGATGCTGATAAGTGCAGATGACAGAGACAATTCCTGAAAGCCTCCAAGTAGCCAGATGGCGAGAAATGGTCATAATAAAAGACTGGAAGCACCTCAACTTACTGCCAGCTGTAGGTCAGAAATAGACAGGACACTTGTGTTTGTTCCACATATGCTGTCTTACTTAAGAGCATTTTGGTAAGTGTCCATTCATGTTGTATTCTAGCAAGCAACTGTTCAGAAAAAGTCGTGCTGTTTTTAATTTTGAGCACCATACTGAGAGATAGAAAGAAAAAATTACTAGTCAGGGAGTTTTTGCCTGGTAGTAAGAATGTTTTATGTGGAGAGAAATGAATAGTACATAAAGATGAGGTTTAAAGACAAGAGTTAACCCACTTGGCTCTATGAGCAATGACCACTGAGTCTCAGAGATACTGCTTCTATCTTCCTAGTCCTTTCTACTTTCATTATACCTATAATTTCATTGATGTCATGAATTATAAAGTCTTACAGAGAAAATGAGTATCTATTTGACCTGATTAACATGCAGCAGGTGATAACACATTAGAAGTAGATAAATGAGCAAGGGAATAAAAAGGCATAAGGAATATATGTCAGATTAAAACAGAATCAGAACTCTACAAATGCCACTCAATCTATTATGTACTCTTTAACATGTATTTAAAATTTGAAGTGTCTTGTCACAGGCAGCAATAGTTATTAAAAAGAATGTCAGGGAGCCCTACTCTCAAGCTGGCTTTTGTCAAGTGTCTTACATCTGCAAATAAAAGCCAATGTCTTACTTTTTCTATTAACTGTTAGCTGATAATCTGAAGTGATCTTATTCTGTTATAAAAAACATTTATCTTCTTCCTGAAACACAGAGAAACATACCCATTTTTCTCATTGCAAATTCAGGGTGGGCTGCTTTAAAACAATGTCTTTCAGCAATATTCAATTCCAGGTTCTCTGAGAAATAAGTACAAGAAAACCTTGACATCTCTAGCCAAAATAAATAAAATAAAATAAAATAAAATAAAATAAAATAAAATAAAATAAAATAAAATAAAATAAATTTAATAACATTTACTATACACATAAAAGCAGATTGCAAAATGATCCAAAGGAATGAGGCCAGTAAAACCCTGAGAACATAACCATAGTCCTGTTGTACGTAGGACAGTGCAGTCTGAATCATAATGTCATGACTACACAACAGGAACACACAGGCAAACACATCATCCAGAAGGAAGAGCTGTCAATGCCACACTGTGGTATTCTGTACTACTGAAAAGTCAATAGACACCTGTCAGCTGTTGTTATTCCAGTTTAACTGTCCTGAACATATACATAAAATGTATAATTATATATAGATAATTCAGTAACTCGACAATAACTCAAGAAAGCTGACTACTACCAACAAGTTAAATTGTCTATCTTGTTTTTAAATTTAAGATGGCCACCTCTGAACTCACTTCAAGTATTACTCTAAGTGAATCAGTTACATAAGGCCCCTCTGAATTTCAGATTAACAGTCTATCTTTGGTAACCTATTCTGTTACAGCTGGAGGTCTTTCCCTACAGGAAAACCTCATAAGGAGGAAAAAAGAAAAGCATATTTTACCCCAGCTGTCTGTTCAGGAATAAAGCAGGCCCTAGGCCTAAAATAACATCTTAATTCCTCTTCAGCTCCAATTTGGCTTGAAATGAATTATCTGCCATAAGAAAAGAAGCCACATATTATCAATTTTGAGAGTTTCTTTGCATGTGTTAATTATTGACACTTCATAAATGTAAAAATTCTCAGAATGTAAGTGTATAACCATGAGCTTTACTGTTATTTACACTAAAACAATCAAATTTGAATGAGACATAATTTTGTCCTCAGTCTGGTAGTCAGAAAATATACTTTTTCTTCACCCACAATTCATTTTGACACAGCTTAAGCACACTTGCAAATATTTATGCATAAGCAAAGCCCAAAATACCTGGGTCAGCATTAAAATAAAAATAATATAAAAATAGAGTCAACACAAACCACAGAGGTCATCTTCCTTTTCTTGGATGATTTCCCTCAACACTGCAAAATCAATACAACAATGTAGTACTCTCTTCCAAACAGTCTGCTGATAAGAATGATCGCATGATCTGATGATTTAATGGATAAGTACTGAATTTTAACATAGCCCAAAACAACAGGAATTGGATGAATTTTATCTTACTGAAGCAGCATCAATATCTATTGCTCTTTAAGAACAGTGCATTCAGGCATCTAACTTACTCGGCTGCATCAACGGTAAGAACTATTTACTGTTGTAAGCATATTTTAGTGAGTGCTGCAATACAAAAGCAGCTATAAATGCAGAATTATGTAATAAAATGTGAAAAGTACAGAAAAAGTAAATTACCAGGTACATTGACAAGTTAATTAAAATACCTTTGAATCCAATTTATTTTTCTTTCAGCTCTATAGCATTAAATGTTCTAATAAGTGATTATTACAACTAAAATTATTTAAAAATATTGTTGTGTATGAGAGAAATATATGTGCTACAACATACATTTTAGGAACCTCAACACGTAAAAATAGGTACTGTAGTTTAAAATGATTTCTTACAGGAGTCTAAATTTACTCCATTAATATGGAATAAACCTTTAGGAATCTTACAGAATCACAAGACAAAATGAAATGTATAAAGAAGAATACAATCTATAACTGTCAGGTATAAGTAGCAAATAAACAGATAAGAGTAATAGTCATTTAATTTTAAACATTGTGCTGAATGACTAGAAAGACATTTCAGGACATTAATGTTATTTGAATAAAATACATCTGTAAATACTGACTTTAAGTTCCAAAGTAGTTACATATTTTAATGCTGTATTAGAAAAGGTCACTGCTAATGCTATAAAACCTGTGCAAAATGTTGGTTTAATATATCTACCTAAGCAGTGGTTGACATAAACAACTGAAACTTCTTCATGCATTTGCAATTTTAGTATGTGAAAGTGCCATCATACGAAATGTGTCATATACATTTTGCAAAATGCTATAGTATAGATTTAGATAATTCTGTTTGGAGCAAACTCTACTACTTTACTACTCTACTGCATTTGAGTACAAGAAGATTTCTGAGAAACAGAATGCATACTCAGGTACACTAATATCACTCTAATACCTGCTGCCAGACATTGACTTCACTCAGTTTTCAAAGTTAAAGACATAACTCATAAGCAGAAATTCTAGACTTTAATTTCTGAAATGTTTTTGAATTTTGCATAAAAATTTTTGGAAATTGTATCAATAAAAATACAATCTTCAACTTAAGAAAAATAAAATTACATTTTAATATGCTTGGTTTTAACACTCTTCTTATAGAACCATCAACATACAAATATTGACAAACATGCCTGATAATGCAGGACAAAAGAGAACACTCCGTGTTCGAGAGTGATAATGAAAAATGGTTTAGATAACACAGTATAATGAAGCTACATTAGGAAAACCAGATTAGATTTGACCATTTCATATATGCTTCCAACGGACATACATTCAAGGAATATCCATAGGCAGTTCTGTAAATTTGTGTCTCCAATATCACAGTATTATAACAACCTCAAATATATAATTTCACTGAATATTGTCAAACAAGATTTGATCCTGTGATGACACAAAATGATAAATTTAGGGAGAATTTGAGAAAAGAATAACTTAACTGACAGGGAGAAGAAGGGCCAGCATTATGAAAATCATATGGTAAAAAAAAAAAAAAAAAAAAAAAAGATCAATTGGAGACTATATGTTATCAAATTGCAAAAATTCCCATACGAGAAGTCTAAATGAATATTGATTAACTCGTTTTATTACTATCAAAGATAAAGCCAACCAAGTTAATGCCGTGAGAAGAAGAAATATACTTATTAGACAGACAAAAATCAGAATGATCAATAAAACATTCACAGTATTAACAAAACAACCTAATAATTAGTTTCTAAAATTTGAACATGGTTAAGAATTCACAGATCCCAATGTGAAGCTTTCTACACCTGTTAGTCTTTAGGAAAACACTGTCCTAATTAATCATTTTTTCTTTCTTTTTCTTCTTCTTCTTTTTTTTTTTTTTTAATAATAAAGTTAGCATTTCTTTTTCAAGTAAGATACTTAGCTTTTGTCTATTTTAATGTTATTCAGGTTTACCTATGAATTAAAGGCAGATGGACAGCATTTTTAAATCCGTTAATATATTTTTTTACAATTACACCACTTAGGCATGTAGTTTTAGTAATGACTTTATCATCTCTGGCATGCTTTTACATATTCCTATGTCTGTTTGCAGTTAAAAATCTTCAAATAATAAGCAGATTTTTCTTGGTTTTGTCTTGATTTACCTGAAAGGCTCCCGGTGAGTGACAGAAACAGAAACAGTTTCCATGACAACCACATCATTGGTCACAAAGGTCTTCGGTCCCTCTTTGTGCAACAGTTAGCTTTGTTGATGCTTCTTCATTAAAGCTTAGCCTAGTGAGACAAAGGCAAATCTTTGTCAAGAAAATTAAAAATGTCTTGCAATAATATGGTAAGCAATTCAAAAGACAAAGCTGGTCTTAATGCAATTAAAAGTCTAATTCAGAAGAACTCTCTACGTAAAAGGGCAGGTAATCTGACAGATACTCAGAGGGATATTGTTCCAGTAGTTACCTGTATTAATAGCTGAAATTTCTGTGGTAGTGCTTTGGATATTGTGCATGGTTATCACTCCAAAGCTGTATATTGCAGATTTTAATTTCCAAAACACCAAGCTTAGAACACATATCTTTCACACCAAACATATTTGAAGTATATAGCTTGGCATGTGTCCTTCTTTTCCTGAAAGCAATATGCTGATATTTGGTATACAGCATTTTAGAAAGCTCAGCACTAAAAAAAATAATTTTCTTTAAGAAAATTCATGCATTTTTACCACTTGCAAATTGTGTTGAAATAGGTTCCAGTTTCTTCCTGTTTATTCAATATACAAAGAATCTACCATTATATTTGAAACAAACACCTTTTATACAAAAGAGACTATTCATACTTATCTCTCTCCACCACTCCTCACATTTTTTTTTCCTATCTGTCCCATACTTAGCACATACACCTTTGTACATTGCATGTTTGATCATTGTGTTCTTAGTTATCACTTTGATAATTTCAATAACCGTAACAGAAACTCCATCCAAAATTGGATTTTCAGATGGTCTTGTATGGACATAAGTGTATTATTGGTCTTTGATTTGAAAAACATTGTTGCAAACATAAGTTCATTTCCTACACTTAGTTGTATGTATTTAGGAAATCTTTGAGATCCTCTTCTTGGAGCTCAAGGAACCTTCAGCCCCTTTTGCTTGTGATCCGCAACTGTAAGAGCAATCCTCAAGAGCAGAACAATGCACTAGGTAACAAAGAAAAGTGTGGCTTTTTTTCCCCTATTAGACCAATTTTGAGGACAATAAGATGCCTTCAGATTACAATAAGTTTAGTTACATGCCACAGCTCCTGTTTTGGGGGACCTATACCGTGTGTTCACAGTATATTCACAGTAAATAAGCAGAGGCAAATCTCAACACATTTGTTGTGGGGGAAAAAAAAAAAAAAATAATAATTTCATAGTTTAAGAGGTGGTTCTTGCTGTATCATATCAATTCAGCTGCTCTCCGAGCATCTCCAGTTGTAACATACTTTGGCAGTCCTTCCTCTGTATATAAGGACAAGCATGTATGCATACATGTGTAGAGAAACACAGTGTGAGAACAAGATGACATCTTCTATTTAGGTGCCAGTAGTTATTCCTGCAACAATCTAAACATGTAACTTGTCAGCTTTCATTTATACAGCACAGCAGGTACAGCTTTCAATACAGATAAAAATTCCCAATTAGGATTTTACTTCCTTCCAGGTAACTCAGACCAGGCAAACAGGGTGTACACATTAATAAGAGTTTCTCTGAAAGGGATCATAACAGTCGGCTAGCCAAGTGACTCATAGTGCCTGTAGCTCATCTAAACCTCCACAGGAAACCTCCTCAATTAATTATTAATGTCAGCTGCCTTTGTTTTACACTTCAGTGATAATCTATTTTTCAGTCACTCTGTTCCTTTGCTTAGTAAATTATCTCTTTCAGCATTCTTTGCTGGCTAGGCCTTTGGGAAATAAGTATTTTCATTAATATTTAAATTTCCCCTTATGGTCATATCTGTTAAAGAGGGTAGAGCTCAACTACCCCTCCATGCACCCTCATCTTTATCAGTCTTCTTTCTCTTTTACTTGTCTTGACTTATGTTTACTTATTTTTACTTCAGCTGTTTTTATAGTGGTGCAACACAGAAATTACCAAGTTGACTTGGTGATTTCTCTGTTGCATAAACAGAGAAAAATAAAACAAAGTTTCCAGCATTAAAGAGTGAAATTGTTATTATCATAAGGTATTACTGTGCCTATTTGACCAGACTTTTAAAAAATTATATTAAAGGTTGTAATTGACAGAGCAGAAACAGCATAAGGAATAGTTAGAGCTGAGCAATGGGAACATCATAATGAAAGATGAATTTATATAAATTTCTCATTGCATTCTTGAAACAATGGTTTGAAGTTCCAGGGGAATAAAAATTAAACACAACAGAGTTATTACAATTTGCACCAGATAAGGAGCCAAGGAAAACAGCTATAACAACTTTTATGTGACATCTCTTAACTGTGACCTATATAACCTGACCCAATCAATGTACACGTAAAACAAACTTCAGTCCTCTTCCACAGCGATATTAATATGTTGAAGCAGAGTCTAATGACAAGGGGATGCTGTGAACTAAGTCATGAATGTTGGACACTGACAACCCTATTAGGATATTTGTTGTATAAATACGTTGGTTTATCTCAGTAGAAGTGTCACCAAAACAAGAAAATGGAAAATATGTCATTCTGTAGCTTTTTTTAAAATCTACCTACCTAGAAATCTTGCTTATTATTATAAAGAAAATATTATATCTTTATCTTTTATAATCTTGGTCCTTCAGGGATACCTGATAAACATTTAACTGGCTGTACAGATGAAAGGAGTGCAGAGCAATATGGTAGGGATATTGTAAATCAAAGAGTTGAGGAACACTCTGAGACTCAGACTCTGAGGAACACTCAGAGTCTGACAAAGACTTTGATACTGCCTATGGGTCCAGCACTCTGGAGCATGTCCAGAGAAGGGCTACGAAGCTGGTGAAGGGCCTGGAACACAAGTCGTATGAGGAGTGGCTGAGGGAACTAGGGTGTTTAGTCTGGAGAAGAAGAGGCTCAGGGGAGACCTTATTGCTCTTTACAACTATCTGAAAGGAAATGGTGAGGACCTCGGGGTCAGCCTTGTCTCACAGATAACCAGTGATAGGACTAGAGGGTCTCACATTGTGCCAGGGGAAGTTTAGGTTGGAGACTGGGAGACATTTCTTCTCAGAAGGAGTAGCAGGCATTGGAACAGGTTGTCCAGGGAAGTGGTGGAGTCACCATCCCTGGGAGTGTTTAAGGAAAGGTTGGACATGGTGCTCAGGGAAATGGTTTAGTGGGTGACATTGGTGGTAGGGGGATGACTGCAGCAGATTCTTGGAGGTCTTTTCCAACCGTAATAAGTCTATGATTCTGTGAAATAATATGTTAAGGTGCATGAAAATACTATATATAAGAAATGCTAGCATATATTCTAATCTCTAATGGAGAATTTAGGAAGGGTTATAGTCCAGGCTTCTCTACTATCAATGGCTGTCATCTGATTTTTGGATGACTAGGCTCTGGCTTCTAGATAGTTCTGGGTGATTGAAGAATTCTTTTACTCAAAGGACCAAACAAAAAGACCAAAGCTGCACTAAACATGTTATGAAGAGTATCTGATTTCTAAAAAAAAAGTAAAAATTAAGAAAAAAAAAAAAGTGTCATTCCTTTATAAGTAGTTAATTAATATTTCCTTACGTCTTGGAAGGAAGTGGTTTTGTTGTTGTTGTTTTGTTTTGTTTTTAAACTAGCTTGTTTGTTAGGTCACTTGAGGACATATAGACAAAAAGTTTTGAAGTCTCAATTTTGTGGATTTATCTATTTATTTATTTATTTATTTCCCGGTCCTGGGTATCCCAAGCCCAAGGTGAGAAATCTTTTACAACAAGCATTTGCTTTTTAACCCTAACAAGACAGAGCAAAATATATCATCACTTAGTACTGGAAAATAATACAACTAAAGATGTCACTAAAAAGGCCTTTAAAACATTTCAGCTGAACAGTACTTTTTTTTTTTTTTTTTTTTTTTTTCCATATATAAATGTAGAACTCACAAAAATCCAACTGTTTGGAACAGTTTGTTGGGTTCATTAGAAATTAAGTGCTATGAAAGAAAATGAAATTGTCCAGAACCTATTACTTTCTATGGTTTTCTTTTGTAACATAGCATGATTTGAGCAAGCTCTTTTTTTTTTTTTTTTTTTTTTTTTTTTTTTTAAATAAGGATGGAATGTGTAGCATTTATTGAACTTTCTTCATGTGCTGATTTCTTCATGAAATATGCAGATATACAAATTTTCCCTGGTGGTAAGTTGTAAAAATCAGAAATCTAAAATAAGGTTGATGCATATAATGTGCAGCAAGTAATTTGTCTAACAAATTTAAGTTCTTGTTATGCACAAAGAATTAGCAGATGTGATTTTTAATTTCCACGATACTATGCATAGTTCTTTATTTTCCCCTGAATTTCAGTCAAATTACTTTGCAATTTGTCTTTATTCTGTGTGCTGAATGCAGACAATTTATTAGAACATTCAGTATATTTTAATGAATTGTTTTGGCTAGTAGTGAAAGAGTGGATATTGTTTCATGGTTCTGAGTCCAAAATAAACATGAGTACTTATGCAATGGTGTCAACACTACTGTAGAAGAAGCCTCAACTAGATTTAGTAAAATCACAGTCTTTTGCTACTAATAGCACCTACTATCATTAATATTTTTTTTTTCTGGCAGTTAATGTGTATGGAACTATGATGATTTCTGCCTTTTTTAATTAAAATAGTTAAGAAGTGAAGCTTTTAGCATAGATACTGTGATATTGATATTAAAGAACTTTCTTCCATTATCACAATCTTATTTTCCGTTTTCAATCATATGCATATTTAGCAGTTTATCTGTACCAACATGAATGAGATAATTACTTGAATCCACACCCTCTCGCAAAGCCAGTCTTTCTCTACAGTGACTACACTGCTGAGAGGAAAAGATGGAAAGGGGAAGGGGAAGGGGAAGGGGAAGGGGAAGGGAAGGGAAGGGGAAGGGGAAGGGGAAGGGGAAGGGGAAGGGGAAGGGGAAGGGGAAGGGGAAGGGGAAGGGGAAGGGGAAGGGGAAGGGGAAGGGGAAGGGGAAGGGGAAGGGGAAGGGGAAGGGGAAGGGGAAGGGAGGGGAAGGGGAAGGGGAAGGGGAATGGGAAGGGGAAGGGGAATGGGAAGGGGAAGGGGAAGGGG